TGGGCAGTGCAGAGGCTGATGTTGTACTGCATAGTGGCAGAGGAGTAATACAGGTGTAGTTGGCATGGCAATCCATCCTAAGTGATGAGTGTCATTTAAATAAGACAACAAACCATTGAATAACCAGCAGAAAGAGCAGGGATAGGCTTGAAATAGCAAAAATTAGCACCTACAGATGTAGTATCGAATTTAACCCGGGCTTTTATCTTTGGGGGTGGAAATGTTAAAATTCAAACTTGTCTGTGCATGGGGCAGGTCCAGTACATGCAATGGCAAAAAAAGGCAGAAGGAACACAGCGAAAACAGAGATCTGGCTGGATCCTGTGGGGTTGGAATTAACTGGGAACTTTAAATTATTGCTTTTTTCTTAATTCAGAACTACTGTACAAGCAAGAGAATGTGCATATGAAGCCTGTTGAATGAATTCTCCTACCTTGTAAAATCTTTTGTCTCTCAACATATTTGATCTTTGAATTTTGCTGGGCTTTTTTTTCTCAAAAGTGCTATCAGGTGGGTTTTTTACACTCTACAAACATCAATACAGTGGGTTATGTTTTCAGCCAGGCTGAGACTACACCTAACTTTCACCAGCAAAAAGCAGGAAATTCCTGTCTGAAAACTCCCAATTTCCCCCCGTATTTGATTCACCCTCAATTTACCATAAGAGCTGTATTTCCTGACACTTGGAAACCTGTTGAAATCAGTACAAATTTTTCCAGATGAGGGGTTTGGAGGCCCATTTATTCCGAGCTGCTTGGGTGAATTGTGTGGAGCGGTGGCAGCATCCCCCCAAAGGTGCGTCACCACTCTCTGTCCTCCTGCCAGGCCAGGACACGGTCTCTGCTCAGCCCTCCTTCCTTCTTTTGGGAGCTGTAATCAGTCATCTGAATTACTCCAGTTCTAAGCACCTCCACGGTGGCTGTTTTCTTCACAACAATCAGAGCTGACATCAGCTGTTTACACAAGGAAGGGTACGAGCATCTCTCTGGTATCTGGCAAACTTAGCGATCTGCTCTCGTGGCAGATGGCTCCAAATTAAGCTGCTTCACAGATGGGACTACAAATGCAATTCCTCAATAATGAGGATGAAAAGGGAAAAAGGGATCTAAGGATTTATGGTTCCCGTGGTCCAAAGGCCTTCTGAACCAATGTGATCCATATGTATTCCAAAAGAAGGAGTTTACAGCTACAGCCTCTGCAAGAGGTATGGTTGTGAAAACTAGAGAGAAAAAAAGGCAAGTTTTCAGTCTTAGTGGCTAATCATCGGTTTGATGGAAGATTACTGCTCTGGATAGTGTTAGTGAACCTAAAACTTGACCTCAAAAATCCTCTTCTAGGTGAGCTGATGAATGAAAATCCACCTTCATCTTAGTTCAGATCCCACAGATCAACAGCCTTTTGTGAAACAGAAAATGAAGGCTGCATTAAACCACTTTATTCTTGCCCAAATCCAGTAACTTCCTTGAGACAATGTGATTTAGCTTAATTTCTCTACTCACACAGGGGTTTTGTCCTGTGTGCAGAAACCAGGGTAAAGTTTAGCCCTTACCACTGAGAGCCCTTGATTCTGCTGGTACGAGCTCCCTGTCAGCCCTGTGCTGCCACTGACGGGACCGTTTGAGTCAAAAGAAAACAGTTCAATTCTCAAAATTCTCACTATCTAAAATCCAGATTGTGCAGGCAGTTGGAAAGAGGAGAGGTTTAGGAGAAGGCATCTGTATCAAGGAATTGTGTGGCAGCTCTGAGCTGTGGCTGTGGAGCCCTGAGGGGAACAGGGTGTGACTCAAGCCAGTCATTTCAACATTGATAGGAGGGGTCCAAAGTGAAAAGGAAAGGCTGAACCTGGTTAGGAACACTCCTGAGCAAGAGGAGGTTCTGAAGAATAGAAATAAGAAAATAGAATTAAGAAAAATATGGCCACAAGTTCTCAGTGTGGAAGTATTTGAAAGGCACAATAAGGAAGAAGGATCGTGTCTGAAAACAGAGAAGCAGCTTCAAAGCCTAATGGCTCCATTAGCACCCAAGCTTTTCATTATTTTTATTGATGCAGTAATAATTCACAGTTATGGTTAACATGCCTTTGACACTGGTGGCTGCCTTCAAAATGAATTCCATCTAATTAAACTAAACAACAGAGAAATCAAAGATCACTTCAGCTAATGATTACATTTAACTGTGAAATTCCTTCCTCCCTCCCCATTGCCTCGGTCCCCAAATGATCTTAAATCTAGGCGAAAAAGAACTGGGGTGAAACATCTCCTGGACTCAGCAAGCAGCATCAGGATTAAGGCAGTGACAGATAGCAGATTTCTGACAGTGGCAATAAGGCACAGGCTCCTTCTCCTGGGTCAACACAAAGTCTGTGATTATTTCCTAGGATGCTGGTGGGGGTCAAGCCAAGAACTGCATCACAGTGTGCACAAACATGCCATGCTTGTAATTGAATGTATAGACAGGTGAGAAGTCAGGAATTACCCAAGATGCTTCCCAGAGAATTGTCTTTACTGATCTGTGGGAGTGTTCTTAGCACTTGCCCGCTCTGGGCATGCTGTACAGTGAATTTTCAGTCAGATGAGATGTGTTCTCAGGATTCAGCTGGGTGGATGAGCTATTATAGGGGAAAAAAATCCTGTTTGTGCTGCTACACAAGTAAACTTCTGGGCTCTCTGTAGATCTCTGGATTAAGGAGTTTAGTTTCAAAAAACCAAATTATCTACCCAGCATCCATGAATGTGCCTACTGTACCCACCTCCCTTTGCTCCTAAGCCCCAATTACAGCATCCCCTGGCATCAGCCAACATGTGTTTGCCTCTAGTCTGTGTGAATCCCCAAAGCCAGAAGTTTGACATGGCTGTTCAGATTCCCTGATGCAGATTTGTGGGAGATTCTTCCCGGTGCAACAGTCATAACACATTTTTTTTCCAAGGGAAGCTTCTCTCTGTGGGAAAAGTGAATGTAAAAAATTATAGGCTCCTCCAAAACAAAGCCCTGGGGTCTATAAAGATCTGTGAGGAACTGCAGGGCAGCATAGCAGGAGTCCCTCAGCTCTTACCTGGCTGTTGAACAGAGCTGTGCTGGGCTGGCAAAGTCACATTTATGGCTTGTTTATCCCTGTAGGAGCAGTATTTTGCTATCCCATGGCAAAACACTGCCTGGTGGGGCAGCCCTTTGGTGGCAGCGGTGGTGGAATATCAAAAAGGCGCTGACTGGGAGCAGTATTTCTTGTCTCTGAATTGCTGCAGCGAGGGAACGCTGTGAGCCAAGGTCTTTGCTCTGTCATTGCCTTGGGAGGATGCTGGAAAACTGCTGGAGAGGCTCAGGGCCATGTGAATTGTTGATACTTAATTCAGGGCAGGGAGAGAGGGCTGGTGTGCTCCAAGTACTCCTCAGGCAGGAGATGATGAGGCAGTGCCAGGCTCTGCAGCATCAGGGGCACAGCATTACCTACAGCCTTTCAACTCCCTAGCACTGACAATATCAGAGGAAGTCTCTGCCTGAGTGGGAATAAAGGAAGATCACAGCCACACAGATTTTTATTTTCTTTTTCCTCGTGCAAACCCCTGCCACCTGTCTAGGTTGCCATTTCTTTGCTGTTGCAGACTCTGGGGTCTTTTCAGAAGCTCACAGCGTCTTCTTGGTTGGTAAAACAGCAGTGCCAAAAGCACAGCTTAGTAGTCAAAATGGGGAATAATGAACCTCCTGGTCTGTGAGCATCAGGATGTGTTTTGTGCACCATCAGGCAGCGCTGGGCTGGCGCCAGATGCAGTAACTCATTCCTCTCCCTGACACTGTCTCATGATCCAGTCTGATTTAACTTTTTTATTTTTCCTAAAGAAATGTGATTGATTATGAACACAACCCAAGGAAAAAGCCCTCCCTCTTCAAGCCCTGTTAGCAAGATATTACCTCACCTAAACTTAATGAAACATCTCTCATCCGCACAAGGTGATAAATTACAGGAAGAAGGGATGTTTTATGTACAAAGATGATCTAAAAGGCTGTAGATAGCATGATTATTAACCTATATTAGCACATCTTGTCCTTGTTACCACTAAGAATAGATAATACAGAGACCAAGAAAAATGAATCAAAAAGCTGAACAGCTCTTCCTCCCAGAATAATGCCTGAAAAATATTAGAAAAATAGTAACTGTAATAAAATGAAGACTACCTTGAAGGCAGAACCTGCAAATTTCCAGATAACCATGGGCTGTCTTTGTTTCATTTGTGTTTGGGTTCAGGGGAAAGCTTATCCGTAAAATGAAAAATATGCAGCAACATTCCAAAGTTCTTGGAGTAGTTAAAAAATTTATAAGACTGGATTAAGCAAGCTCTTTAATAAAATTAATTTCAAAGCTTAAAACCAGCATTAAAAATAAGGAATAAACCATAATAACTTTTACTCAGAACAGCTGCTCCTATCACAGAATAACTCTTAAAATGGTAATGAAGAAAGGTGAAAAAGCCCAAACAAACAGCATTTTGTGTTTCTAAATGAGGGGAAAAAACCCCCAGCTGTCAGGAATATGCCAGCTAGTTTTCCTATCCAGTCTTGAGGAGATAATTCAGTTCACTCCTGTGTCAGTCATCCTGGATTTACACCTGTGTTGTTGTCACAGTCTCAGGAAAAAGCTCCAGCACGCAGCCAGGGAATCTCTGCATTTTGGGAAGATGCACAATATTGCATTTTTGGTAGATCCATGGGTCTTAGTCACTTAGGCCACTTCAGCAACTTCATTTTTTGTCTGGATTTGTGACGGTCCTGAGCTTTTGTGCTGGGTTTGTTCCACCTGCAGAAGCGTCCCCATTCCGTGAGCCCCAGCCTGTGCAGGTGTAGGATGGAGCCAAGGTTCCCTGGAGATAACATCACACAATATGTGATAAACTAGGACTACGAAAGGCTTGTAAAACATTCCTCACAGAGGAGGAGCCATAGCCAGGAGAGGCTGCAGCTGCTGGTGGCACACCAGCACTCTGAGCAGGGGTAGGCACTCACCAGCCCAGCTCCCTGCTGGATTCTGGGGCTCTCAAGTGCATCAGGGCACGGCAATTCAGGGCAAAGCGAGCTCAGGCTGCTCCAGCTCAGCAGGAGAGGTTCAAACACGAGGTAACTCTCTGGCAGCGTCCCTCTGTGACTCGCAGAATCAGCCACACTGACTGCACTCTTCCTTCATTTCGTCATCAAGTGCCTCATCTCATCTCCTGCAGGGAGAGGAGAGGGCTCAGGAGACAGAGACACAGGGGCAGAGACACAGAGAGAGGGCTCTGTCTGCAGGAACTTGCCACAGGCCATTAAAATGCATATTTACCAAATCCTTTCCTCCCAAAGGCTCCTCTCCCAATCCCTCCTTTCTTTAATCCCCAGCAGAAGTTATTATGTAGCATCAGCCACAAATGGTGACATCTTTTGACAATCTTTCTGGCTGTGCTGCATTTCCTAAACACATGGCTGAACACAAGCTCTGATGCAGTTCTGCCACTGTCAAGTGCACTAGGTTTCAGTTCAGCTCTGAGAACTAATCCCTTGGGCCTACCTCCATTTTTAAACACATGGATAAGAAACCAAATTAAAACTGGAAGAGCCTAGAGCAGGTCTGTCTGTGTTTTGCTTTTGTTTACTGGTTGCAGAGAAGGATATTTGGTTATACAGATATCACAGATCTACTTTTTCACGTTCTTTCAGTAGCAGTGCATTACATTAATTAACAGTTATTGGCAGTTCTATGATTCTATGCTCTTTTTATTCAAAGGTACCTATTTTAGTGTTAATGTGCACCATCTGGTAACCTTCTATCAGCATTTGGCTTGCTACAGGGCACTAAAAGGTACTAATTTTCACTGTTTTGCAGTACCAGTCTGAGGAGCAGAGATTTTATTTGGCTTTTACAGGCACATTTGTAAGTCACTGAGGAGATTTTAGACCAGAAAGAGCCTTTTCTTCAGCTGGATATTCTGGGACAGCTGTATTGGAATCAGTGGAACGCTTCAATAACAGCAGAGCTTGCCCATAAGTACATCTACAACAACGTGAGCCTTATGCCAAAGTTACAAAGATCATTAACAACCAGCACAAAAGCCCTCAAACTACTTTTTTAGATAGCAGTTTGTGTTGTTCATTATATTTCATTAACCAAATGACATCGTTTCAGTCAATGAATTGCTCTTGAGAGAAGAAACACGAACTCCCTATTAACAGAAATACTGGCATCACTCTGATACCAGACGTGTCTCAAGGCATCTCTGGCTAAGATGCTGAGATTCGTGAAGCCCACACCACCATTTCACCTAAAATAAATGCATTTATTTTACAAATTTATACAGCCATGTACCATTTTCCCAGGGTCCCACACAGGTTTGCTTCCAGTGCCTAAAGAGAGCTCACAAGAAAGCTGTGTGATATTTGTAGCTTTCCACTGAGGCTTGCACAAGTTTGTGTTGGCAATTAGAAAATCTTCTATAGCACACAAAAAAAAAAGTCAAAAAAAGTTATACAAGCTGAAAAGAATGCAGATTAATGTATTACAGTTGATCATGGCTATACTTACAATTTATTGCACTGATCCAGGGGAGATGAGAGTTTATGAAGTGCAGGTGGCTTGAAAACAGGGTAGTTCCAAATGTTACAGGTAAAAACGCTCTGAGTTATTCGCAGACAAAATATTATTATCCATAGAAGGCAAAAGGTGCATTTCCATCTGTCTGTTAGTTTGGTTGAGGAGAATGTTTTTGAGCTGAATTTCCTTAGTTTTCCCATTTCTTGCTGCGTGGTTCACATTGCTGAGCAGTCTTGGTGCATTTGAGCTGGGTTGCTTTCACACATCACTAAACCAGAGGAGCTGCTCCAGGGACAGGTACCAAACTAGATTAAATTCAAAGTAAAACTCCTACAATACCTACAACAAGGCCACCAGATCTTCAGTGCCAGCTTTTTTCCTTTTTTTTTTCCCTTCTGTAGTTTAATTCTTCTTACACTGTACTCCTGACTAACAGCAGAGATTCCTGCTCTCTTTCAATCCAGAGCTCCTTTCCAGCAGTGCACTATTTTGCTGGAAAACTTATTTTTTCCATTCAGAGGAGGGCTTAGCTGTGCTGAACAGCGCTTTTATGTGAGCTAATCCTTCTCCTTTTAATGAATTAAGCTTGTTTCTTCACCCTCCTTTTCAAATAAAGGAGATTTTTCACTCGCTGCAGCATCTTTCGGAGCAGCAGTGGTACAGGGGTAAGCAGGCCACCTTATGAGGATTAAGTCTAGGCAAATGATAACAAGGATTCAGTCACTTGTTGTTAATGGTAGCATTAATTTCTCAAATGAAAAGAACCAAGATGAACTGCAGAGAAGGCCTTTGCTCCCGTGCAGGTAGTGGCAGTGAGGTTCTGAAGGACTCGGGTTAGCAGCTGGTGTCAGGGGATGAGGTTAATGGAAAAGAGTTTTGTTTTTCTGGTCACTTAATGACAGTAACCTTGGAAGAGCTCAGCAGAGCCCTTGGGGTAGAATTAATTATTTCTCTTCTGCTTCCATCACTGCAAGTTAGCCCAAGACACGGGAGAAGCCGATCTGAACATGAACTCAGCTGGGCAGAGCATCACAGGAGGAACATCAGCGCTGTGTGTGATCTCTGCTGTGAGAGAAAACAGCCCATGAGCAAAGGCTTTGCAGAGCCACCGGTTCAGAATACATAGTTTAGGATGCAGGTTATCAGAATACACTGTGTGAGAAGACAACAAAAATATTTATCACAAGACAGGCAATTTTGGGCCAATTCGTGGCCTTTGCGCCAGGCAGACACAGAAAAGAGGCCGCAGCAGCGCCTGGTCACACTGCCCCTGTTCTGTGCTGTGCTGGTTTGTTTTGCTGCCCAGAAATAACTCCAGCTCCTGAGAGAGGAGGCCTTGCACTGATCTGCTCCTCTGTGTCTCTGCACCACCATTTCCCTCTGTATGCTTTAATTAAAAGTACTGTGAGCTGCCCAGGAAAACACGCCTTCCCTGCCCCTGCTGGAGTCCTCATGAGGCAGCGCTCTGTTTTGGGGGTGATACGAGCCAGAACAAGGGATGAGAGATCCCTTCATTCGATCCCAAACCTTGGGAAAGGCATTTTGAGTGTCCCAGATCCATCTTTAGAAAGCCTCTGGAGCAGACAGGATTAGCGCTATCCCCACCTGTAACATCACTACCTTCTCCTCAAGCGCCCATTTCATATTCCAAGCAACATGAATTCCTCATCTGTGTAAAGCTGAAAATCCTTTTTTGCAGCCCTGGGTACAATAACTTCCATAGAGAAAAACAAGATTAAACTTGACAGTAATAGAAGTGGTAGAGGAGGAAAAGCGTTCTTCCTTTGAGGCACAGGTTCTGAGTACAGCAGCCAGTCACTGATTGAAAAAGGGCAGGAAGAAAGATAAATGCAGTTATATTCAAGCATCAGGTCTTAAAAAAAAATAAAAGCTTGTAAGAAAGAGAAAAAAGAAAACCCCACACCTTTCTCTTGACATTTAACAAACTACCTAAACGAGCTAAGCAAAGGGAAAGGAAGAGAGTGCAAGACCTTACACAGAGAGCTGCTTTCAGCCATTTGTTACTGGATATCTTAAAATACATTTATCCAGCCTTGCTAAGAGACACCAAGCCCTCCATGACCTACAGCAAATCCTCAGGACTGTTTTCTCCCCCTCCTGCCTCTGTGGGGACCAGCCTGCTTGGCAAAGCGCACACCTGCGTGTCTGTGGGTCGCCAGGGATTTAAATCCTCGTGTGCCACACCCAGGGGAGCAGATTTGTTCCCCAAAATGCCTGCAGCCACCCAGTGAGCCCTGCTCCCGTGGCTGACCCTGCACCTCGCTGTGGTGAGCACCTTTGGGAGCTGTTGTCTGGCACGAACAATTCCTGTCACGCTGTTAAGTGTCAGGGTTCCTCGACCAGCGTTGGCTCCTTAGTGCTCTACAGGCTCTTAACTCCCAGGAAACTGAGATTCTGAGGCTGGAGGTCTCATCAGCTGTATCCTACAGAGGGATTTCTTACCTCATGCTCCTCCATCAAGGCTTTGCTTTTGGATTTAGGCAGATTGAGGAACGTTTGCTGCCGCTGGGACCTTTTGGCATCTCCGAGATGCCTTTGACGTTCCCAAAGGGAAGCAGACCCACTGTTCCCCCAGCCCAGCCGTGCCCCCTGGAGCAGCAGGGATGTGCCAGGGCAGGAGTGGTGGAGAACAGAGTGTTTGAGTAGTGATTAACACACAACAAAGAGAGCTGCCTGCCTGCAAATGGAAACACACTGGGTGCTTGTGATGTAACAGCATTCCCATCTAATTTTACACTCTGCATATAGTAATAAGACACAACAGGGTGTGCATTAAGCTCATCTTTTGAGAAGTGCAGCGGTAGCTGAATAATGCACACCCTGGAGTGGCTTATTTGTAGTGGACTATGGCTCATTAATTTTACATTTAGTTTTTTTCAGATCCGTTTTAAAAAAACCCACAAGTCTCTTCTGAGGGCAGTTATGTAATGTATCCTCACACTGAAAAATATTTTCAAATAAAAACAGTAGGCAAAAGTGAGAGTTTTGCCCAGCTGCAGACCAGGGTTTGGTGTGTTTGGTTTTGAGTTCTTGGTCTGCTGATGCAGATATATAGTGCAAATAATGGTAGTTTTGGAAATCTATTCAGTGTTCACTCTTTTCTAGACTTTTCTTTCTTTTTGTGGAATTACCTGGGCCTTTTTTCTTCCTTTTTTCCCTTCTCTTTTTTTCTTTTTCTCTTTTTTTTTTTTTCCTTCCATTTCGCATATGAGCCAATACCCATCTCAGATCAGATTAACATCTATAGCATTTGGATGGGGATGGGACTGGCTTTTACACCAGACTAGGAACAAATGGTCAGGAGGCAGATTTGCAGGATTTGGGGGAAAATGGTTTTGCCAGAATAGCAGAGTGCAGATGAGCCAGCCTACAACAGCATTTAAAGCACGGGGGGCGTCATAAAAACCCTGTTTTGTTATGACATCGCTCCAAAAGTGTGAAGGAGGGACTTCCGAATTCTGCTGCTCCACGTGAGCTATGACTTTTTTTCCCCCTTGTGGTTTATGCCTCCATGCAGGTTCCAACCTTGATGATGGACACCCAGTTCTCGGAGTTCACTCCGGACATCACGCCCATCATGCTGGCGGCTCACACCAACAACTACGAGATCATCAAACTGCTTGTCCAAAGACGGGTGACAATCCCACGCCCACACCAGATCAGGTGCAACTGTGTGGAATGTGTCTCCAGCTCCGAGGTGGACAGCCTGAGGCATTCCAGGTCGAGGCTGAACATCTACAAAGCCTTAGCCAGCCCTTCGTTGATTGCCTTATCGAGCGAGGATCCCATCCTGACCGCCTTCCGGCTGGGCTGGGAGCTGAAGGAGCTGAGCAAGGTGGAAAACGAGTTCAAGGCTGAATATGAAGAGCTTTCACAGCAGTGCAAGCGTTTTGCTAAGGACCTTTTGGATCAAGCACGGAGTTCCCGGGAGCTGGAGATCATTCTCAATCACAGGGATGATCAAAGCGAAGAGCTGGATCCCCAAAAATGTCACGACTTGGCAAAGCTAAAGGTAGCAATAAAGTACCACCAGAAAGAGGTAAGAGCCGCCTAGGTGTGAAGGTATTGGGTGAAATAATTAATTTTTCGAGTTGCTGTGGGTTTGTGGAGCGTACATGGATTTTTGATGGGGTTTTTTACATGGATTAGGCACAAACCAGGAGGCTCAGGGCACCTTGGTGACAGCGTCAATCTGACAACAACTGAGGGCAGCAGGACTGGGACTTGTTGCAGTGGGCTGTGGCTTCTCCAGCACCAATAATTTCTGTCCCAAAGCTACTTGAATCCCATCTCATTGTAACCCATGCCCCTGAACAGAGCAGCCTTCAGACATTTCCAGGTCCGCTCGCTCTGAAAGCTTCTCCCTTTTTGTACAGGAACCCAAAGCTAGGAGGGGTTGCCTGGATCCTGAAGGCTGGAGTGCAGGAAATAATACATCACACAATTCACCTCCTGCAGCCACCAAGCACTTCCAAGCACCCATTCAGCACTAACTCCAGAGGGCCAGAGATGGAACAGCAGCTAAAGAGAGCAGGAGAGGTTGGGAGCACTCCCAGAGCCCCAGGTCTCCAAGTTACCAGCAGTTCTCGTGAAACCACTCGTGTGGTGCAAATATTTCTTCACACCTGTGACACCTCTTGATCCTCAGTCCTTCTCTGTTTTAGGAACCGAGAAGCAATTCCCAGAAATTCAAACTCCTGCCCGTAGCTCCCAAGAGGGAAGCCGTACTTCAGCTAAAGGGCACAGAGCCTTTCAGAAGCCCTGATTTATAAGTTGATTCAATAAAGGCCATGAACCCCAGGAGAATGCTGACAAGAGTTTCATTAGTTGGCTCTGGATTTCCTTTCTCTTTCCAAATCCAGACAGAATTTAGGGGATGATATATTGCTGTTGGCCGGCGATGTTCCAGGTTATCTGAAGGAGGAATTTAGTTGCTTGGTTGAGGAACTGAATTTCAATGTGTATTACATATTTCTGTGTCTGGAGGGTCACCTGAGTGGCAGAAGATCCTGTCACATTCCTGTGTTCACTCTCTTCCCCCCATCCAACAGTGACCCAGCGTGGTGTGATCCCTTTCACCTCCCTGCAGGGCTGCACGCGTCCTCCGAGGTACAAACAGCCAAGAGGTGAAAGATGCACATTTCCTTTCCTCCCTTCGGCCTCCCCAGTGCCAGCCCCTCCATGCTACAAGCTGGAGCCAAAGCCCCAAACTTCCTGGGATCCAGCACTTGACAGCTTCCTGCCCTTAGTGAGCTGCTCTGGGGGAATGTCAGCTCGCTGGTGTCACCTCAGGTTGTGTTTTTTGCTCTGTGACACGCTTGGGTAACACCACAAGTGCTTCAGAGACATGGACAAGAGTGAAGAGCTACTCTGGAGAAGGACAACCCAGGTAATCAGGTCGGTATTCATGGAATCTAAGAAGGAGCAGAGATTCTACTCCTGTTTTTCTGGGCCTGGCAGGCCCAGACTCTGCAGCCACAAGCTCCAGGTTGCCCCAGCGCTGCTGTGTGCAGGTCACTGCTGGTCCCTCTGCGTCCCTGGTGGCATCCAGGTGTAAATCTGTGCCTGCTCTTGTGTTCTCACTCAGAACTCACTCAGCCCTCTGTGTTTGAAATGTGCTGAACAGTCCTGAAGCTTTTTTATTTTAAATTTTTTAATCGTTGCCTGCTTTCTTGACAGTTTTCATCTTTTTTCTTTTTTTTTTTTTTTTTTTGGGCGTATTTGACTGAATTCCAAGCATATGGACAAATTCCATGTTTTGTGACATATTCATGACAGTTCCAGCCTAAAAATGACAGAAAATACGCTCTGTGTTGCCAGCTAAACTCAGTTCTGTTTTCAGGTGGAATTCTGGTGGGCAGGGGCAGAATGAATGAGGTTGGGAAAGCAGCTACTGAACCCTATCATCCCACCTGGTTATTCACAAAAACCCTGAAGGGTGGCTGGGGTTTTCTTATCATAATAATTAGGCCATCTTATAATGGTAATTAGCACAACACAAAACATCAGGCAAGATACAAACATCCTTGCCAGCTTCTGAAGAAGTGAGTAGGAACCTTTGCCAGGGAGACACTGAGAAATGTTTTTTAATCCTGACTGGAGAGTATCAGACAGAGAGGATTTTTGTGGGGACAGGAGGGAAAATTTTGGTTTGGTTTTCATGCAAGACGGTTCTGCAGAGAAAAACAGCAGACTTTTAAAAGTAGATCATCTTGTTCTGCTGAAGCTTTTTATGTCTTAATGTTAAATGGGATTGGATTGGGTGGAGAAGCTTTTTACACCTTAACACTGCCAAAGATAAAAGTCAAATCTCTGGTAGCCTAAGAGAAAAATCCATCGTGGACTTGGTTTATTTTCTGGGGTGTCAATTGTTACTGTAGTTCTTAGTATTCAGCACAAAGAATGTGTAATTTCATATTGATTTCAGACAAATTTCCTGCAGCTTTTTTTTCTTTTTGAGTGAAATAAACCTGAAAATTTCTCCCCAAAATATGAAATGATTCCATTTCAGCTTAGTCAGGCAGATAAGGTCAACTTCAAGATTCTTTTCAGAGAAGCTGTTAAGGGGAGGTGGGTGAAGAGATCAGGGGGTTTGTCTTTACAAAGGCTAAAAAAAAATCTTCCATTATCTTTTGGTTTTTGTTTTGTTTTTTCCCAAAAATCCCCTTGGGGAGGTGCAAGTTTTGGCTACTCCCAAATATGACCCATGCTAAATATTTTATAAACTGAGAAACGTGGTGCTCATGAGGAAGAAGACCATTCTTCTTTGGAGGAGGGCCAAAACAATGGAGAATAAATTTGTTGCTTTTCCTGTTTGTTTTTAATAAGCCTGTAAATCCAAGGTAAATGACTGTTTACACAGGAAGGGGGGAAAAAAAAATCAATTACACAGGAAAGATTAAAATATGCCCTAAGGTAGCTTTGCAGTATATTTTATGGCAGTAAGTGGTAAAAACATGCTGTGCAACGTTCTCAAGCTCCCTCTCTCTTCTCATGTCAAGTGTAGCATGGTTGTGTCCTCAGTTTCAACTTACTGTGATCATTTCTCTAGAAGATGGGAAGGATTTAATAGTTGTGATATCTGTTGGCATGGCAGTCACAAAACCTGAGGGGGGAAAATGAGG